CAATTTCTCAATTTCTCAATTTCTCAATTTCTCAATTTCTCAATTTCTTATTCATTTAAAATATATTTGGAGTTACTTCCACATCTGACCTAGCAACCTTTGCCATTTTCTACGACGTAAATCTACTAGTCCATTTTTCCTTCGTGTGGGATTGGCTCGGGCTGTTTGTGAGGCTCCGCCTGCAACGTTTTTCCATGACAAGGGCTTCCAAAGCCGTGGAAAAGTTCAATGGAGGCGCAGATGGCCCGGTTAATTTATGTTGGCAGAGATGTGCTCTCTCTCCCATCATTCATTGCTGTCACCTTACTTACCGCATCTTCTGACATGATTCTTACTTTGACAACACGCTGGGAGTGCAATAGAGATTAATAAGCAGCAACTGAAGGTAGATTAGCTTAAAATTGTCGTGTAGGTACGTGCATAAAATTCGCATGATGCATCGTATTTTTAAATCGCTTACAAATAAAATTGAATTTACAGAGTCGGCATTGGAGTGAAATATAAGTTGTATCTTTTTTTCTTTACAGAACATTGGTTGTCTTATGATGTAATAAACACTCTCTTAATTCGTAATTTTTATCTGGCAGGGTTCTATAGCAGATCAAGGGAATCCAATGGCCGTGCATATAAAGGTTCGTGTAATTACGTGTTCGTTCGTTCGTTCGTTCGTATTCGTGTAACACATGATATTGATTCTATCGCCGTGAATTGAATCAATGTTTAGTTCAAAATGTTTTTGAATTTTTTTTCGTGGGGCATTTATCCAGCGTGTAGCCGAATATTCTTTATGACCATACACAAGACATCAGCACACATGTGGGCTCATGTGATCTGGGGACAGGAGAACGCGAGTCCCTCAGCGACTGGCGACAAACAACCATGCCGAAAGCAGGACCTGAACCCGCGACCATTCAGACCGAAGCTCTGAGTCTGTACACGCTCTTAGACACCTCAGCCCTTCAGGTCGGCATGTTTTTGAATCTTATATTTTACTAAAGTATTTCAGCAAAACAGAGCCCTTAACCCTTAACGAAGGAGCGGAATTCTGAATAGAAGCATTTGCTCTGAAATGAGATAAAAGTTCAGTAACGAACTTACTCGCCTGTGGCCGAAGGTGGAATAATCTGTCATTGTTATCAAACTTACAATTATGAGTAGAATGAATGTTTTGTTTAATTTCTAAGTACCTGTTTCTAGACATTACCAAAAATATCCCTACTCGTATGTTTTCGTCTGTCAACCAATACATTCTTTTTTGAGTACTTGATATCCTGATAAAAATACAATACTAATAAACGATTTTATATCGTGCTCAGTTACACTAAAAGTCTGACGATAATTTTTGTTTGGCACATAAAAGTGACTGATCAATCAGTCACGTTTTGATGAGTTAACATAAAATAGTTTTTTAAATAATCCTACAGAATTGAAATGTTTTAACTCTTCTACTAGTAAATCTTTTTCCTTTTTTTGAGTTGAAATTGTCTACAAGACAACTCCATTCTGTGTAAGAAAGCTTCTGTTGAGACCACTTCAGTTCCACAATATTTTGTGTTATTCTGTTTCAAACGTTTTCGTTTTTGACTCAAAGATTTCTTAAAGGGCTTTTAAAAGAAAGGTTCTGGTCTCATTTTCGTTGAAAACCCTGATTTATCGAAAAATTCAAAAGTTCAAAATATATTCGGAGTCTTCCCAAAACTAAAATATTGATGACAGATTTTATTCTTATTTATTTCTGTTCCTTGAAGATACATTTTGAAATAAGACCATGCACAATTTTTCAAAAATTTGAGTACATTTGCGTGAAGTAAGGGTGAGAAATTACATGCTGTTTGGGCACCACTAGTTCGTGTTTGGTATGGATACGAATAGTAATTCTGTTCAATATTTAAAAACTGTGATTTTTAGAAGCTTAACTCTTAAAGAAGTACGATATAAATGATCCTACACCGGTACTGAACATATTTCAATTCATTTTCTATTTTTGCTTGCAGATCCCCCCTTAATTAAAGGTAGTAGTCGCCAATGCCTGTGAAGCAAAGGAAGGCACTGCTAAGCCATCGTGCATGTCATGTCCATGAAAGTTTAATCACTTCTTGTCGGTACACTGTTCTACACATCCACCGGTTTTTAAGTGATGCCGACCATTCCTTCTGGAATTTGCGTTTTTCTCAAACACCACTGCATTATAATGAATATGAATTTGTTTATATGTAAATTTCAAAATTAAATCATCACACCATCTGCAAGATATTACTCCCAGAAAGTGTGAGTTAACGAATAGCATGTTAACAGCACCATCATTCATCGCACTAGTAAACGGTACGCTTGTCACCTCTTTGAGCGCATTCGATTTCAACAAAAGTTTAGTCATTCTGATATGCTGAGTTGCGTGTATGTCGGGTGTGTGTGTGTAGGTATGTCTATGCGGATGTGTGTGTGTTTAGGTATGTCTATGCGGATGTGTGTGTAGGTATGTCTATGCGGGTGTGTGTGTGTGTAGGTATGTCTATGCGGGTGTGTGTGTGTAGGTATGTCTATGCGGGTGTGTGTGTAGGTATGTCTATGCGTGTGTGTGTAGGTATGTCTATGCGTGTGTGTGTAGGTATGTCTATGCGGGTGTGTGTGTGTGTGTGTAGGTATGTCTATGCGTGTGTGTGGCGTGAAAGCGTCAGAGGCCACATACCCAATTCGCATACCTGATGAAGAGCCTTCAGCTGGCAGTAGCGGCGTAAAGGAAAGGCATATTTCCGTCTTGCGCCCACACGCACTGCGCATGCGTCGAAGTTTGCGCAAGGCTCGGAAGTGCCACCGCCTTCCTCCTATGACGGATGTTTGCGATTAAGCGAGTTGGTGCAGGTTCAAAAGTTTGAAAATCATAGGTGAAACGTGGTAATTGTGAATTGAAAAATTATTTATATACGCAATATGAAGTAATGAGAACAGTTTTTGTTTTTCATTAAATGTTTAGGTAGACTCTGCCATGCAGCCTAATAGGTACACATGCGCCACTGTCGAAGCAATAACGAAAAACTTCGTTCGTTACTGGAATTTGACGTTTATGGAATATTTCTCTCCCTAGATTCCGAGTGGCTAGTTCACCCTGTCGGAATTTGTCGTGTGGATCTACCGACATTTTCCGCAGGGCCTGAATTCGGGCGCTGGCGCGCAATGTGCCGCGAACCGCTATTCGCCAAACGTGTGAGCGTCTTACAACACAGAGAAGCAGTGGAGGCTGTCACGAACGCAATCTAAGGTAACAAGCGTATTAGAGGCTCTCTCGACGTAGTGATCATGTTCCACTATCTTCACGTATCATGCATCGTATCGAAGCTCGGGCTCCCTGCTTCCGCACACCTGCCTGTCTCCGGTAGCTCCTAATGAGCTCATAGGAAATTGGCGGTGGTGCTTTTGCACTAATGAAGCGCCAACCACTTTTCTTAGGAATGTGGCGTGAAGTTTGGTCAGCAACAATCGTCCCCAGCACCTGCCAGTTTGCGGTCAACGGAATGCGACAACATAGACAGCCATACATTCTTTATGAGGAATGTACCACTTAGAATGGAAAATATATCTTTGTAGCACTAAATATAGAAATTAAAACTATAAAAAATCGTCCGAATTGGGTTGGTGTATTTATGAATTGAATAAAACTATGTGGACATGAGTAGACGTTTTGAATTACTGATTTGAAGACACAAAATCACGAACGTTAAAAAAAAGAACTTTAGTTTTTTCCAAATTGAAAAAGATTAAACCAACTTTCTAATAGGCAAAAGAAATTGCGAATTTTTGGTACGTGTAAATACAACATAAGTGTAGCATTGGAAACAATTTTCTGAGATGACGAGACGTACTTCTACTAATTCTGTTATAATAAACATCAATTTTTAATTCTTGTAAAAATTGTGGTGGGCTAATGTACTAATTTTTAATAAGTTTATTTTCGTTATCGTTTCAATACTTGCTTTCGTGGTCTCGGCTAATATTATAAATAACGAATTGCATTTTGTGGCCAATAAATTAGAATATATTTGATTGCGTAATAAAACCCGAAATGAAAGGTAACGGTCAAAGAGAAGGAATATTGCAAAACGCCTTTTAGTCGCACTGAGTTTTCTTATCTACGAGATTCCATTCTAATAAGAGAAACATCAACATTTTTTTGTTTCCGTGCGTAAAGTTTCAAATAAGATTGAGAAAGTGCGCATTGCTCTGGTGCCCCTCGAGATGAGTTATCGCCGTCCGCCCACGCGAGTTTTGACTCGCCTGTTTTGTTATTGAAGTTGAGCAAGAACAATATTGTTTTGATCGTCTCATGTAGGATTGAAATTTTGACATTCTAAAGGTTTTAAAAATGATGAGTAAATATTGAAAACCAATTCGGACTCAATGCGCGCGTGTCTCTTGTGATTCGGTGAACTCGCGATTATTGAGTCCATAAAACGGAAAAACTGCAACAAAATAATTCCAACGGCGCGGCTTGTGCGGTTGGCACAAGATCAGCAGTTGCAAATTGAAAATTGTCGGATTCGCCCATCAAACACTAAATTTGTTTTTTTCATTGCCTCTCTGTTTATATATTTCTCTGTAGCTGGGGTAAATGTGTTTTTTTTTGTATACCAGCATTATAAACGACCTTTTCCATAAATGGAGGCGTATTAGATTTCTTGGCACGAGTGATTGCGTCATCACACAGACTATCCATGACGCCACAAGGAAATTATTTCTTTTACAAAATTAAGTTTGATTTTCTCATAAATTTATAATGCTGTTATACAAAAATGGCGTATGCAACTCGTTTATAATGTTGCTTTATTGCACTCGAACAAATTTGAAATCTGGCTTCACTCGTCGCTTGTAAAAACATGTGCTCAAGCAATAAAGCTTTACATTATAAACTAGTATGCATAAACAGTTGCACAAACTAGCGTTAATCCTAGGTGTTGTGTTGTGGTGTGGGGTATCGTAGTACGTTGGCTAACGGTGGCTGTGTTCCGCAGGCCACCGGAGGGCCCAACCTGCGCAGCGACAGCGATCGCGACCCTACCAACGGTGGTGAGTGCCTCCTAGCACGTTTTCGTCCTAATTCGTAGGTTGGTTGGTTGTTAGTAATTCTCAGCGCGACATCTACATCATCCCGTAAGGGTAGTGCATGTTTTTTACCTTCGGGGAGGTGGCGGATCCGGCGTTCCACAACACCAGACATGTTCCACAACATCGGACCAAGTACCGAGCCTTGTGGGACACCGCCTGTGACCGTATAAGACATACGCAGCCCCTATTTGGGCTGATGCCATGGGCATTCAGTCATAGACCCGTGGGGCTAAGTCGGCATAGAACCGTATAAGTGTGACCGTATAAGTAACTGTGACCGTATAAGATTGTACTCCAATCCCAGTTTCATATAGGAGGATTCTCTCCTTAAAGTAACTTTTTACCAAGTTCGAGATGTACCTGGAACTCCAAGAGGTTGTTAGGCGCAGAAAGAATGAGGCTCCACCTTGCAGTTAAAGGGCGTTTTTCACTCTAGGTCCACTATAGCCACAATCTTCAAGGACCCCCTTTCCCAACGTGCCTTCAATGCCTTGCCTGCGAGTCGCCTACTACCTAATGCATCTACCCGTGGATCTCGTTTGCATAAAGCCTACTGAATCAGACAACCTTGAGCCCCTTCGTAAATGCTCAATACATGCAATAATCCGCTCCAACACTTTCCTGCGTTCAAAGCATATGCCGATACTGCCGGATCAGTAGGTGCCTTATCGCCCTTCGGAGAAGGACTAGCTGTTGCTGCTTCCATCGACGGGGGAAATTCCCCTCTCGTATGCATGCATCATATGCCTCAAGAATAAGTCGGGCGATCGAATAGGCGGTCTTAATTGCTTACATTTGGTACCCCATCTAATCCGGGGGCTTCAATCTTGGACCTGCGCAAGCTCTTGAAAGTTCATCCAACGTGACTGCCGAACCTCGCTAGATCTTCCAGAAAATCCTTTCGTTGTGAATATCTACCTGGCGAGAACAAGGTAGCTACAACTTTTCCCAAGAAAACCGGGCAAGTGGGTGGCGCCTGAACATACCCCTGAGTCTGGCCTTACCAGCTTATACGGCGTCCCCAGGGTCAGCATCCACCTCCTCCCTTAGCTCTCTCCAGCAACGACACTTACTATCTTAATCGCTTTTGTGAAAGCTCTTTCTGTGTCCAGATGTTGCTTTCTTGAGAAATTCATAGTTTGGGAGCTCCAGGCCGCTGTGCCAATCTACGTGTTCGTGGCATTCCCTGCGAAGTTCCGCGATCTCGTCAGTCCACCAGTACACTGGAGGACGGCTTTCTCTCCTTTGGACCTTTTTGTCATTGACGCATCACAAGCGTCAAATACCCTGGGTCATTTCGTTCTAAATTATCAAGTCACGGGCCAACATATCTTCAGGGTTGCCCTCCATCATGGCAATGAAGGAATCACGATCGAAACGTCCTGTGTTTCCAAAACAGCTTTCCTTCACCTCTTGGTGAGCTCAAACATGCACTGCTCTTTCACTTCATAGACTTCATTGGTGGTCACTATGTTATATGTGCACTAACCTCCAGAACAATACGTCTAGCAAGGCTTTTACAGACGAAATTTAGTCAACGACCGAGCTGCGACCATCATTACAAAGGTCGGACTGGCCCCGTGTGCAGAGGCAGACATCCAAACTGTCACTCGTGGCCCACTCCGTGCCCATGCATTGAAGTCCCCAGCAATAATAAGAGCCTTCGTTCCTCGCGTCATCTATTAAGCGATCATGTTAATTCCCCGAACTCCTCAAGCGATGCACCTGTGCAGCATAAAACACTATAGAAAAATACCCGAACCCTTTGATTTAGGTGAATCCATCCTCTTACTTGCATACCCATCCTGGACTGGACTATTACCAACATATCCATACTGCAGCTCGGTTAGTCGCATCCGAACCAGGACTGAAGACCGACAATATTTCTGTATTGCTCGCAGAGTAGTGCAACATCTTTATTCAGCTCGCGCACCGTCTGGGTGAGAAGGTCCTGGGCCGCCTCTCAATGATTTAAATTTAGCTGAGAACTCTCTTTTTCTGTTATCCGTTGCATCATTGCTCCTTGTACGCCGGACACGTGAAACTCCCCGTTCGGGTGGTTCCTCTTATCTTTGCAGAGCACACCACCTCGCCTCAGCGCTTTTGCAAGCCTGACGTAAGTGGCCGTCTTCTCCGCATCGGTGACAGGATTTTCGAACTGTCCGTCCCTTGGAGTACGTGCGCCAGATGTCCGAACGCCCAACAACGATAACACTTCCGCACAATTACTTCCTCTCTAACGCGGCAGTTTACCCACCCAATGCGAACACGGCCGTCCTCAACGCCCTCCTGGCTAGTTCCGTCGGTAGACGGACCACTGCAGTTTGTGTGCCTCTGTAAGCCCTCAGAACGGATAGACACTTTGCTAGCTCAACAGGTGATTTCAGTTCCCTGCTTACAGCTTCACAGACTTCAGCCGCCGTTGTAGCTCGTCAAGGTCGCGAATCTCGAGAGTCGTTTCGTCTCTCCGCGTCGTGTACTCTTGCTAACTCGCCCAGTTTTTTTATATAGCTCCAGATATCTCGGAGGCTGTGCATATTTCCGCAACTCCAGAGCAGCAGTATCCTGCTGCATTCCTCCTCACCTTTGCGACGTTCTCACCAGCATCTTTCAGAGATTGGTCGCCCTTGATCTGCCTTAGAATATCAGCATAGGAAGGGCCTCCCTCATTTGCCTTAACAATAACGAGTTCGGGGCGATAGGAGTGCGGCTTCGCGGCCTCCGTCTCTTCCTCCCTAACACATGCCAATCCATCTCATCATTTTCGTGTGGTTTCTCATCAGATGGTTTGTGCAGTGCCTGAGAACGTCAGCATATTGAATGTTCCTTTCCTGCACCGCTCTGATAGCTCTTCTCTGCCACTTTCGTAGATTTCACGGTCTTTCTTTCCTCGACGAAGTTCGTCCACCACCTACTGTGGTCCGCAAACTCCCCCCCGCTGTCAAGGGCCCACCACAATCATCAGCATTCGAACCAATATCAGACATCTGTTGTGAAACCTGCGTCTCCACCTCCACCGTCCTCAGGCAAATCACATCATTAACTGCGGTCGCAACTCCGCCGCCGAGGACCTACCACGATCATCAGAATTCCGGCCAACACCCGACGTCAGCGGCAGAGTCCGTGTCCGCGCCTCAACAGTCTTCGCGGCAAATTACATTGTTTCCCGTAGGCTGCACCTCCGCTGCTGCTGTCGAGGCCCTCCATAACCATCAATATTCGGATCGACACCCCATGGCTGAGGTGAATCTGCGTCTCCGCCTCAACTGTCTTCGAGCTAATTACAGATAGTGACTCCTCCATGTCCACCATCTCATCAGTTCAATCGATGGCACTGACCATACGCTTTAATCTCCCCGTGGACATTATTCCTTGGCAGGACAAATGCAGGAGATCCCGATCTTCTTTCCCCAACTCCAGAAACTTCACTCTCCTATTCTCTTCCCAGACACACTTGTGAGCTTGGCTCCCCCAAAATCCATGGAGCCGGCACCGACTATCGGGCTTTCACCCGATCAAGAATCGGTGGCGAGATTCGGCGTCAACAGCTCGACTCGCTTGGGGTAGTAAGTTTGAGGCTCACTCATACCCATCACTGGTTTATTTTCGGGTGACCGTCCCTTAGCGTTTTATATGCTACCGCCAGCAGAATGAATTGGAAGGAGGTGAGAAGGGCTTTTCGTAGGATAGGAGGCAAGACCCATAAGCTACTCAGTCCACCTAATGGATCTGCGGGATGGAGGAAAAACTATGGGAAAGTAAGGATATTAGAGGGAAAGGACAGCGGACAGCTGCTCCTTTTAGTCGCCTTTACGACAAGGCGGAGGTCCCGTGGCGCTATTCTACAAAAAACCCCGGCAACCACACAGGGTTGTGTGTGTATGTGTATGTGTATGTGTATGTGTGTGTGTGTGTGTGTGTGTGTGTGTGTGTGTGTGTGCGCATGCGCGCAAGAGGTCTGAGGATAGAAGAAGGAAGACGGAAAGATCGCGGGCAGTTTGTGGCGTGTTTGTTGTGGTACTACTCCAGCATCTAATTTTTCGAAAGGAGACAGAACCGGAGTAAAAAACATGTCATTTTTGGGTAAATGAAATACAAATGCTGTTGACGTAAAGCGCTGTTTGCACTTGAGCCGTGGCGATCTGTTTTTTCTGCTTACTTGGAGGGCCTCAAAGAATCGGGCGTCCGAGGGAGGGAGCCATACGGCCTGGCCACGTCACTTCGGGTGCAGGATGAAGTGAAGACGAGTAAATATTCCTTTTAAAGTGTAAACCAAAGGTTGCCCCTGAGGAGTGTCACGTGATGTGCTACTGTGGGAGCGACGCGATGAGCTAAGGCGGAAGATTTTCGGACATTACTACATTCTGAGTCGGCCTTCAGTAGAGTACACAAGCGTTTTAATATATATGAAAATTGGGTGGGTCGTCGCGTGGTCGTCTCGTCTTTGGTCCTATCTTCCATATACGGAAGTTAGGTGACCCATAACGGGCTTTCTTGGGATAAATTATTCAGGGTGGTTTGCCGTTTCCTTCCCTGATATGATGATGATGATGATAGGTGGTGAAAGGACGAACGCAACACAATCATGTCCGAGGTGGGACTCGAACCCGCGATCTTTCGGTTCTAGATCTCTACGGCACTACTGCCTTAGCGATCACGCCACCGGATCGGCCCGTCGTGGTACCTCTCCATAAAAACGTTTATAGTTTATTTCTTCGAGTATGTCTTTTTACTTTCTCGCCTTACGAATTCTTCGTAAGTAGAGAAAGTTATGTAATCGTGCGCCAGGAAACGCCGAAATTTCGCCAGAAAAAAACCTTACCCTGCCGGGTTCTGGTAACGCAAACGTGGATAAAACCCGTTGCTTAATTTAGAAATAAAAATCCTGTAACTCGTGCTGTAGTCGGAATCCATGTTTTGTTGGTTCTAGATACCGAAAAATTGATTGACGGCCGAACGTC